AACTATCTCATTGTATCACCCTCTCATGGATTTTCAATTATTGAATTTATTTACTTTATTTAGTATCTAATTTGAAGCAGTAATATATTTCAAAGTTTTTGAAAATATTATTAAATGCATTCATTAATGATAATTACTCCCTTCTAGGTCCTCAGGCATCAACATTGTTGCCTCAAAAACAAATACAAGGGCCTGGCACGGTAGCCTAGTGGCTAAAGTCCTCAACTTGCACGCACCAGGATCCTATATGGGAACCGGTTTAAATCCTGGCTGCCCTGCTTCCCATCCAACTCCCTGCTTGTGGCTTGGGAAAGCAGTAGAAGATGACTCAAACACCTTGGACCCTATACCTGCGTGGGAGACCCAGAAGACGTTCCTGGCTCCTGTCTTCGGATTGGCTCAGCTCCAGCCATTGTGGTCACGTGGGGAGTGAATCAAGGAACAGAAGATCTTCCTCTCTGTCTCTCCTCCTTTCTGTGTATCTCACTTTCCAATTAAAAGATAAATAAATAAATCTTTAAAAAAAAAAATACAAGCACCCAGGAATGAATGTTGAGGCAAGATAGGCCATACCAAACTGAGCCACAGCACCCACTGGCACACTCAAGACCCTGGCCCTGAGGCAAGCCTGGTTGGGGGGAAGAAAGTAGCAGATCCCCCAATGGGCTATTGCTTCTGCTAGCGAGTATAAGAACTGGGACTGGGGGTGGACCAGGCAGGGCAGTGTTGCAACAACCATTGACCCTCATGTGAGATGGGTTTGGGGAAGGGCCAGGCTAGGCTGGCCACCGCATCTGCTGGCACATGTAAAAGACAGGATAAATGCAGGCCGACTGGACTTTGCCACAACAGTGGCTGGCAAGTACCAGGACTAGACCCAAGTCCTACCAGACTGGATCACAGTATCCCCTGGAAAGTACAAGATTCAGGGGGCTGCAGCTCCCACTGGTGAGCATGAGCTAAGGCTGGGAGCAGGCCATGCTGGACCATGCAAGTCCCCATCAGCATACCTGTGGTCTGGGTAGCAGTGTGGGGTGTGCTGAGCCATGTCACCACACCCATAGTATATACAAGAGTTGGACTGGATGCAGGATGGACCAGACTAGTGTGCTACACATAGCAGTATACCCAGGAACCAGACTAGGACCACCATTGTGGAGATTATTGGAGATCACTCCAACTAGGCTGCAGTTTCCACTGGTGTGCATAAGGGCCAGATTTTGGCAGGCTGGGTTGGGCTTTGCTGCAGCATCTGTCACTTTGCATAGGAAACAGGGCTGGGGACAGAATTGACCAGGTAACTGCAAACACCAGTGTGTGCACAGGCTAATGTGAGTGACAGACTGAATCAGACTTCACACCAGCTAACACACACAGGAGTCAGATCTGGAGTCACTCCAGGTGAGGTTTCTTGGGGGATCTTGCAACTGGACCACTGGACTCAAAATTTCAGCCACAGGGAAAATCAAAGGATTTGTGGCTCGACCTTGGAATGCATATATGGAGAGTGAACCGCCTGGGTTGCTGGTACCTGTGCAGTGGACAGCATGCCTAGATGCACATGTGGAATGGGACAAACAGCACATTTAAGCCTACAAAGGACATTGAGTACCATGTCAGAGGATGGAGGGCACAACAAGTTGGACAACTCTCCTAACCAAGCTTTGGCAGTAAGTGCCTGGGCAAGTGGATGCACTAAAGGTGGACTTGGTCAGCCAATAGATCTTGCAAAGATTTTCTCAGCCTTAGAGCAATAAAACCAACAATGTGTCAGAACTAGCAAAATCACTCAAGCAATACCCTCAGAACATTCTTCTCCACGTCGGGGTTTCTAAGATGACATCAAATGGCCATCCCCCATACCCAGATGCTAATGTTGTTTGGCAGCTTGGAGCAGCTCCCTCCCCTTCCTTCTCCCTCCCCACTAGATACAAGAGAAAAAGGAAAAAAATTAGAAGTATTTGCCCCACCCACCTTCCTCCTTGCCTTGACCCTCCCCTCCCTAATCTGTGGTCCTCATTGGCATACATCCTTCTCAACTATGTAAACATTAGCAAAAATAAAATAAAATATTTATAAAGACAAATACGAATTTTAAAGTTGCTGATTTTTTATCGTTTTAGAGCTACTTAATATCAGAAAAAGCATAAATATGCCTATTTTTCTCATACAATTACACATCATTCTGAATTCTTTTTTCAACTTAATATCTCTTGGAGATATCAGAATTCTTCTTTTCCATACAATTAAACAGTATTCGATTGTATGAGTGGGAAATGATGTGCATATAATCTATAGTAGTACCTGGAGAAACCACATAGGAAAATAATGTATGCATAATTTATGCCTGGAAAAGCCATAGGAAAATATATTATATTCTTTCCCAATAGTTGTTCCTATTTTTAGGAACAGTTGTTCACTGTTTTTGACTTATATGCTTTACTGAACTTGAAATTTTCATATGCATTTCAAATAAACCTTTTTGAAAAAAAAGTAACTCAGTTTAGTTGTGTCCTGAGAACTGAAAATGTCTTAGAAGATGCATTTAAAAATTTAAACATCTGCGCCAAATAGAAAGGCCACACATATTTTAAAAAATGAAAAGTAAATAGAAATTCTAAATACTTAGTTTTATCAGTTGTTCCCTGTCCAGTATTCATGTGCTGAACTATCTATTCCCCAATCCAAAAATATGAGTTAATACACATTAATTTAAAAATGCTTTAAGGGAAGAATTTGTAAACTTAATTAATTAGAAGGTTGTGCTATGCAAGCTGAACTCCTTGCATTTTATAAAGGAATCAACAAATATTACTAATAAAATAAGACTGAAATAAAAGTTTACTATGCAGAGCTAATAACAATGTAGTAAACAAGAAGGGAAACTGGCCAATGTGACCACTGAAGAATGGGATCCAGGGAGAATTTTACCTGGCATACACTGCTCTGTTGATTGGAATTAACCGGTACACATGATTATGTTTGTGCTATGGAGAACAAAAAGAAAAGTGAGGTCAGGCCATTGTGAACCTAAATGACCCCAGGACATACTTTCCTCTTTAGCTTTCCTCTTTAGCTATAGATCCCCACGATGCACAATCACATTGCTTGACGGCCTTCCTGGACACAAAATTGGCACAGAGCAACTTCAAAACTATGCCTACTTCTGGGAAGTAATTCAGAGGAAGTGGGATGGGAGAGGCTTACGTGAAGGGGCACATACTGAGAAGATTCTCAGTGTGACAAATGGCTCTGATCTCTGATAGGCTCACAGAACCCTTGCAGGAAATCACAGGGCTGGTCACTACTTTGATAAGCCTCACTCAGTCTCCAGCTTTCACTCCAACCTCTGCGCATATCTTCTGATTTAGAGGGAAAACACAAGTCTCCTGGAGTCACACAGTCTCGGAAAGGCTCTCTCCCTGCAGCCCAGCTCTCCAGCTTTGGACAAAAGCATGGAAGAAAGGTAAGGATATGGACCAAGGATTGTCATATTTCCAAAGTCACATGCAGATTTTTCTTTCACATCACTGTGTTTCCACCTTGGGTCTATATGCAGAGGGGCAAGAGGCTGCCTTCATAAAGACTGGAGTCAGAAGCGCCTTCTGGAAATGGGATACTGGCAGCCACATTTGCAGGAGTTCTCAAAGGAGTCCAGCTCCTTTCTCCTCTTTCCTCCTATCTCCTGCATTCTTCCCTTTGCTCCAAACATTCAAATCTCCTACCAAAAAGAGATTGCTGTTTCTGAGTTTCATTTAAGAAGCAAAGTCATCTGTCCAGGCATTGCTTCCCAGAGCTGAACTGCTATCAAGCCACGACTTCATTGCTTTACTTACTTCGATGTTATTTTTGTTGCTGTGTCTGGAAGGATTCCCAGAGGAAGCAGTGAGTCCAATCTGGAAATAATTAAGCATGGTCTGAGAAGAGGAAGCTAAGGGAAGTGTGACTGCTGGTGAAGCACTGCCAAGGCAAGTGTTGCACAGTGAAATTCCACTCCTGGACTTAAAGACATAAGGCCGAACATACTAGGCACCAGAGAAAAGGTAGCCAAAGTTATAGCTCTAGCAGGATATGATGACAAGCAAATATACAAGCAGTGCATTGCCATACCACAGTCTCACAGAGAACCAGGAATGGAACAAATTAAAATACTGTCCTCCTGCCCTCCTGTTTTGTGGTAGAGTCTCTAAGAAGCTCAGATCAACCAGAAACCACTGAGAAGGTAGACAAAAGCCGTCTTTTTAGAATAGGAAACAGAGTGAGAGAATTGTTAATTCCATGACACAGGAGTTGGCTTTGTCTCTTTGCCCACCTCCCAACAGCCAGCACACCACCAACATGGTTTCATCCAGCTTCCGGAAAGACTGAGCTGGGAGTTCTCTTCTGCTTTTCACCACTAGCATTTTGTAACGCAGGAGAATGAATACTGGGGGCAATCAGCAGTCTCTACAACCCTGACTCCCTTTTATATCCTGTGTTCCTCCCTGTCTTCAAAGCCCCTCAAAAATAATAAGTGGCACAAGGGGGGAAAAAGTCAGAGCTAAAAACTCGGATGGGTGGAATGGCTACTTCCTTGTCATTCTCGTGATAAAGCTAAAAATAGGAGTAGACTTGATATATTGTCTAAAGGCAGCTTTGCATCTTGTACACTGTCAAAGAGACTCGCCCTTCCTTCTTCCAGCAGGGACCTGACCTTCACTACCTATTAACCCATCTAGCTGTCACATTATCAGACTACACAACATTGCCAAGTCATTAGGGACACCTGCCTGACCAAAAAGTAAGTCCCAGATTTACATCCAGTGACATCTGGGCTTAGCCCCCTGGTTCCAGAAATTGCAGATTTCACGGGTTACTTAGTCTCTGCAAGCCTCTATTTCACTTTCCTGGGACACAAGGACAGCAATTTCTGAGGATAATCATCCAATAGGAGTTCAACTCTCATTTCTGTTCTCAGGGACGCCAGTGGATGTTTCCTGCAAATGAATGCAACCACCGCAACCTGGGGGACAGAACTCAGATCATCTAATGCAAGTGACCAGGCCCTTCCTCAATGGCCTCTGAGATGGAAGATCATGATCTTGGCCTTTCTGGACATCATCATTGCCCTGGTGGGGCTGGCAGGAAACGCAACTGTGCTCTGGCTCCTGGGCTGCCGGATGCGCAGAAAATCCTTCTCCATATACATCCTCAACCTGGCTGCAGCCGACTTCCTTTTTCTCTTCACCCACATTATACGTTCCCTGCTGAAAGTCACCTACTCCTTACATTGCATTCCCAGAATCTCACTCTTTTTCACAGCCTTTTTCTATCTTGTAAGTCTGGGCATGCTCAGTGCCATTAGCACCGAGCGCTGTGGGTCTGTCCTGTGGCCCATCTGGTTTCACCACCACCGCCCCAAACACCTGTCAACTGTTGTATGTGCCCTGCTCTGGGGCTTCTCCTTGCTACTGAGCATACTGGAAGGGCACCACTGTAGCATCCTCTTTGGGAATTTGGGGAATTTTAGTGATTGGTGTAAAATATTGAATTTTACTATTGCCAGTTGGACAATTTTCTTATGTATGATTCTCGCTGGGTGCAGCTTGGCTCTGCTGACCAAGATGTTCTATAGCCCCCGGAGGATGCCACTGACCAGACTTTATGTGAGTATCATGCTGTCAGTGCTGGTCTTTCTCCTATGTGGCCTGCCCCCAGGCATGGTCCGGTTTTTTGGGTTCCAGATTCAAAAGAACTCCATGAGTACCCATTATCTTACCTGGGCTTTGTTTATCATGTCTGGAATTAACAGCAGCATCAACCCCATCATCTACTTCTTTGTTGGCTCCTTCAGGTGGCAGCAGGGGCAATCATTCAAGTTGGTTCTGCAGAAAGCATTGGATGACACAGCTGAGGTGGGGAGAAGTGGAGAAAGAAGTCTGCAGGAAACTAAAGAGATTCCAGGATCCCGCTCAGGTAGCAATTCTTTGCCTACCAGGGTTCATGCAGAGAAGTAGTGCCTCTAGAAAATCACATGTGTAATTATGTTAGATAAACTTCTGCAGACACATGTATGGGGGAAGCAGATAACAGATGATATGTAGATAGATGGATAGATGGATGGATAGACAAATGACTGCTATAGATACAGATACATAAAGATGAACATACATATATAGATATGTAGATAAATGTATCTGAACATGTATCTATGTCCTACTTCAACACAATTTTGACTACCCTTTAAATTGTCTCACTAAGACTACTATTTGTCTCTTGCTGGAAGCAAATTAGAATCCAGGAATATGAGCTAAATTCCATGAGAACCAATTAGTCCCATGTTATTTTCTCTCAATATCTGCAAGTTTGGTGAAATAAAGATTCTCCAGAAGAAACTGATCCCCTTCAACATGGAGCTTAACCAGGTCCAAGAGTTGGAGACTGAAGCAGTGAGCGAGAGAAGGTGGGGCAGCTGCAGGCCCTGCTGCTGCTGACCCATGCCCCTGAGGGCAGCCAACAGGGTTGCAGCAGCATGCATGTACAACGGTGCGTCCCTGCACCAACCTCCCACAGCATCAACCAAGTGCTGCAGCTTTCTTTCCAGCCACCAAATCATGGTGCCCATTCTAACCTGGTGCCCATTCAAACAAGAGGGAATTTAGGAAATTTAGTTCAGTCCAAATTGACACTTTCAAGCCACACAGTCTTATCAATGTGATGTAAGGCTATAGTAAAGCAAAAATCTCTTCCCACGTATACCTTAAAATTTCCCAGTACTGCTCCAAAAAATGTCTTTCATTGGCTGTTTCTACATCTTTTGTTGAATTGTGTGTTCAAGGTAACTGTACGTTTTTATTGAATTATTTATCTTGATATTTATCTTTTGGAGTATTTTATCTGTTATAAGTAAAAATCCTGAATCAGATTTATATAATACAAAAAAAAAGTTCCTCCTATTGTTCCATTTGGCTGTTCATTTTTAAAGTAACTTTTGATAAGTATAAGGTTTTGTGTTTCATAAAAAGTAACTTTTGATAAGTATAAGGTTTTGTGTTTCATAAAATGTAACATTAATTTTTTTATTGTTAATACATTAGTGTCCTAAGAAATTTTTCTCCACTCCCAAGAAAACAAATATTTTCTCCAGTGTTCTAACTGCATTTTAATTTTGTGTCCTAACATTAACTTTTGAACGCAAGTTAATTTTGCTTGGGTTTTCAGGTAGGAGTTCCAGATTCGTTTTTTTTTTCCAGTTACGCAGTTATTCCAGCACCACTTGTTGAATAGACATGCTTTTCCCCCATTCAATTGTTTAGTAGCTGCTTTGCTAAAAACTGTCCTTATATGGGTGGGACTGTTTTCACGCTTTCTAATACACTCTGTCTATTGAAAGAGTTAGCAAACTACACGGTCAAATTCAGCCCACTGCCTGTTTTTGTAAATTACATCTTATTGGAGTATAGTCATCCTCATTCATTTAAATGTTGTCTGTGACTGCCTTCGCAAAAATAATAATTAATAATAATAATAATAAAATAAAACACAGTGCCTTACCTTTTATTGAAAAAAAAAACTGATTGTTCCTGTTTTTACCTCAATACTCACTATTCTTAGGATTGTAGCTCTGTAATAAAGGAGTAATATAAGCCCATCCACTTTGTTTTTCTACTTCAAGACTGTTTTGGCTACTTAGGTCTTTTGTTTATGTGTATAAATTTTGTTTTTTAATTTTTTATGTATTTTTATTTTTAATTTTGAATTGTGTGGTACAATTTTGTGTAGGCTGGGATTTTCCCCCCCAAACTTCCACCCCCTGTCAGATTTTTCCCATTTTGTTACAATAGTATAGTCCTTCATAAGGAATCATAATTCTATCAGTCTTTTATTTAACTGTACCCCAGCACTGTTGATACAGACATGTTTTTGTGTATAAATTCTAGAAAGCACTTCCTAATTACTATAAAAATTCTGACTATATTTTGTTCATGATTTTATTGACCCAATTAATTTGAGCATAACTGACCTCTTACACTAAGAGACTTTGAAGTTATAAATATGATACAGTATTGTCGCCTTAGCCATAGGAGCTAAGTTCCCAAATCTTCAGTGACGCCTGAAACTGCAGACAATAACAGATTCTGCATACACTACATTTTTATAGATATATATGCCCACATATGATCAATATTAATCCATAAATTGCACAAAATAATAGAATGGCAACAATAACCTATAATAGAATGATTCTAAGAATTCATTATAATAAAAATTATGTATACACTTTTTCTTTTTTCTCTCCTGCTCTCAAAATGTCCTATCATAAAGCACAAATCACTTAACTTGCAGAGGGCATTTATATTCACATATAAGATCAATAGCTCTTTCAATAATGTTTTTGCTGCATCTCATGGGTTTTGATATTTTTGTTCTTATTTTTACTTCTTCAATAGAGTTTCTTTTCTCTTATTAAACTTATTAAATTCTTCACTGATTCATAGGTCATACAATAGCATCATTTTCCCCAAGGTTTTTTGTTTGTTTGTTTCTTCAGCAACACATTGGTCATCCAGTAGCATGTTATTTAACTTCATAGTGTTGTAAAATTTTTAACTTTCTTCCTGTTCTTGATTTTATTTTATAGCTTTTCATTTTAGGGTAAGTGTAGGGACTGTGTAATAGAGACTATCATGTACAAATGTAAAGATACAATGTAGCATGCATCTCTACTTCCAGAGCAAAGATGGACCCCCCCCATTGAAACTGCTAAATATATCTTGACAATAGGATGCTGCATTCTCTGCCATTGTCTATATCTGCCATGTAAGGATACACTTAAATAGCAGAATGACAGACTTATGACACTTATACCATTGTAATAATATAGGGGAAATCAGTGGGGGAAGGGAACATGGGGATGGGGTGAGCAAAATACCAGAGCCTATGCAATTGTATCATAAAATGTAAAATAAAATAATTTTTAAAAGATGTCATTTGATATGCCCACATTTTTTTAAGTGCCTTAGTTCAAATCCCAGTTGCACTCCCAATTCCAACTTCCTCTAATGCATAACATGGGAAGCACCAGGGATTTCTTGGAAAGCTGAAGTCCTAACACCCATATGAGAGGCCAGGATTAAGTTTCCAGATCACAGCCTCAGCTTGGTTCAGCTGTGGCCATCGAGGCATTTGGGGAATGAAGCAACAAATAGGCTGTGTCTGTCTGTCTGTCTGTCTCTCTGCCTTTCAAATACATAAGTAGGATGCTTTAAAGTGCAACTTATTTAGACTCAACTGCTATGCTATGGTGGTCAATTTGATGACTAAGATGCCTGCTAAGTCACGAACAGGGCAGTGTATACAGTGGACAAAAAGGTGATTCACAGAGCAGGATGACACAAGATTTTGTCATGACTGACAGTTTAAAAATCTATGAACTGTTTCTGGATGGTTCCATTTGATATTATCAGACCTTGACTCTCTATGAGTAACTGCAAGCACAGATGGTGAAACCATGGATAAGGAGGAACTTCTCTAACTCTTGCACTTTACTTAGGTCCTAGTATATCTGTCTTAGTAACTTTTTGTAGGCGCTACTATACAAATCTTGTACACTATTTGTAAAGCTTGTAGTTTCTGTTTTCTGATGTTTTGTACGTATGTTGCAACTGTTTATTGATGGACTATAGAAATACAATTGATCTTGCATGCACATTACCTTGATGTATTTACTTATTACTCTGACTAGGATTCTTAAAGGTTTTTCTTTACTCATTTCCATATATACAATAGTCACAAAGGTAGTTTTGCTCTTTCTGAGCTCTTACACCTCTAATTTCTTCTTCATCTTCCTTTTTAATTGTACTGACCAGGAGTAATGGAGTACCATTTTGAAAAAATAAAAATTGGTGATAGTGGACATTCTTAAGCTGATTCTGATTTTGAGGTAAATATGGCAGAATTGTTCCACTAAGCATGGTGTGAGCTGTAGCCTTTTCATAGACGGCTTTTATTAAATCGCAATTATCATGAATGGATGCTGAACTTTGTCATATGCTCTTTCAGCAATTAAAAAGATATTCACAGTCATTTCGTCTTCATTCTGTTGAAGTGGGACACTTAACTGATGAACTTATAAATAGTAAAGAAATGCAACTGTTGTGCTATGTTATTCTTTTGGTATGTTGTAAGATTCTATTGCTGTTACTACTTCAAGAGTTTTTATCTATGTTCCTATGCAATTCTTCTATAATTATCTTATTTGCAGTATATTTTTCAGGTTTTGCTATTATGTATAGGTAGAAAATATAATCTCTGCCTTTATTTTGTTAATACATTTTTGTTAAGTTTGGTATTATTTTTCCTTTGTATATCAAGAGAATTTTTTAAGCCATCTGAACCTAAATTTCTGTGTGATTATGCAGAAAGTTCTAATTATAAATATAATTTCTTAAATACACTTTCTCCCTTTATATCTTCTTTTATCAATTTCAGTGTCCATTTCTTTCAAGAAAAGCGCTCTTCACATTTAATTTGTTGAGTATGTTGGCTTAATTTTGTTTGTGGGAGCCTCTTGTTCTCATTTTAACACTTATGATGGCTATTAAGAATCTTTGCATTAGAATTCCTGACAGTAGCAAGTTATTTTCCTGTTTTCTTTTTTTTATTATTATTATTAATTACATTGCATTATGTGACACAGTTTCATAGGCTCTGGGATTCCCCCAACCCCTCCCCAAACCCTCCCTCCATGGTGGATTCCTCCACCTTGTTGCAGTATTACAGTTCAAGTTCAGTCAAGATTCTTTCACTGAAAGCATATACCAAGCATATGCCAGCATTGTTGTCCAGATAAGTTCAATGGCTTCTTGGGGATACATTTTCTGGTGTGAAGGTAGAGCCGGCAGAGTATCACCCCGATCAATTAAAAGCCCCAGCATAATATCAGCAACGATTTATAATGTTATGGAATTACTTGACAAAGTATTGAGTAACCAATATTTAAAGAAAAAAATACAAA